CAAAACACTGTGATTTGGACACAACAACAAATGGTGGTTTGCTGCCACAGTGGAAATGTAGATCGACCCATATGCCAGGAAAGGAGGAATGGGGTGGGGGGCCAAGGACCCCCTGCCTCTTTCGAGGCATAAGGAATCACAGTAGTTGATGTTAAGATGGTTCTTCAAACCTAGACGAGAATAAACTGGATCAAAGATACAGCTGCCCTTCCATCATACCCCGCTGCTAGACCTCCTGAGGGCCCCTGGGTTTTGTCCACAGTGTGACACAGTGTGTTGGACTGGATGGGCCATTGGCCTGATCCAACATGGCTTCTGTTACATTCTTATGTCTGGGGCAGCAATGCTCTGTCTTCTTGGTGCTTGGGGGGCAACAGTGGTAGGGCTTCTGGAGTTCTGGTCCCGCTGGTGGACCTCCTGAGGGCCCCTGGGTTTTGTCCACAGTGTGACACAGAGTGTTGGACTGGATGGGCCATTGGCCTGATCTAACATGGCTTCTGTTACGTTCTTATGTCTGGGGCAGCAATGCTCTGTCTTCTTGGTGCTTGGGGGGCAACATTGGTAGGGCTTCTGGAGTTCTGGTCCCGCTGGTGGACCTCCTGAGGGCCCCTGGGTTTTGGCCACTGTGTGACACAGAGTGCTGGAGTGCATGGGCCATTGGCCTGATCCAACATGGGCTTCTCTTACGTTCTTATTGTCTGTGGCATGCCTATCATGGAGTCGGATTTAGTGGCAAGCAGATAAAATAAGATCTGTTTAGTGTGACTGTGTGTCTGACCTTTTCTTTTAATGACATGCTGTGTAGAAAGAAAACTGTCGACCGGACGGGAGGGAGCTTGGTGAATTCCGGACCACCACTGTCAACGTAGGTGAGTGTGGGTGGAGAAGAGCTCTCTGTCTGCTTTCTGAAAGGACTAGGGGGGATATTATGATCTAGCTGTAAATGATTGTTGTTTTTTTATAATAGATCTATTTGAGATTTTTGATATATGATACATTCAGATTAAATCTCTCCCTTAAAACTTACAACAGAAAGTTTAACCAATAACCTAATAATATTTGCAGCTACAAGTATCAGACAATACATATATGATTTCATTTAGAAATTATCTAAACATTCTAGTATTAGTATCATTTAGTAATATAGATTCAAAGGCTCTTACCATAAATTTTCATATTTTCTTAATCTTTTCTTATCTTTAATAAAGTCCTTCCCCTCCTATTTTTCCTTACAGGTTCAACTTTCCCTGTAAAACAGATTTTTTTTTCTGAAGTATTGCCTTATTTTTAATACAAATAAAGATAAGTGCTCGTTCTTTGTAATTCACCTACAAATCTATTTTATCCACTATTTTACTAGAAATCCTTACATTATCACCTCTCTTAATTGATTTCTTAACAAAACAAGCCATTCTATTTAGTTACATTTTAATAAGAACTCCCTAGAGCACTCTTATATGGAGACGGGCTAGATTTTCTTAATAGCTTAACATCTTTTTTCTTTGTCTGGTATCTTTTCTCCCTGGGTCTTTTGCCCTTGTGAATGGCATACATTTGTTTTAGGGGTTGCAATGTGAAGCTTAAAGTACTGCTTGATTGGATATTTTTTGTCTTCTTCTTTTCTTGAGTTGACTTTTGCTTAAAAAGTTTGATTGATCTTGTAGACACCTGTTTGTTTGGTTCTATCAAACATAGTTTCATAAGAGATTTAGTTTGCTTTTTTGGTATGTTTGTCTTATTGTAGTGTATCTTCCAGTAAGCTGAAGGGAGGTCCTCTTGCTTGCAGTTTTGATCAGTGTCTCTCAAAGGTTGCTCCTGCAATTTGTCTGAGTTGCTTGTAGATTTCAATAGAGCAGTTGAGCTTTTGTAATCTAGTTCAGCACAAGTTTCTTTGATTGCTTGCTTAATCGAGTCCTGAATTGTGTTTTTAAGAGCATCCCATGAAAGTTGAGTCTCTTCAGTGCTTGCAGTATCATCAGGGGTTAAAAGGTTTTAATTCATTTCTCGCTTGGAAATCCATTTTAAAAGCGATGTCTGCATCCTCAATATAAAAGAAAGTACAAGCAGTTCAGTCTGTCAACAATCTAGAAGTTAAACCACATTGCTGGATAAGTTGCTGTAGTAATAATAACAACCAAAAGTCTTTCGGTAAAAGGCCAGGCGATTGCTTTTATCCAATGCCTTCTGAGCCCAGAAGACTCCAAAAACAAGACTGACGTTACAGGAAGTCTGTTACCATGTAAGGAAGTTCCTTTTAAGATGCCTGTGTTTTTTCTTCTTTTTGATAAAAGCCAGAAATTTGGCTGGTATGTAATTCCAATAAAAGTGGTAGAATGTTCAGATAAGATTATTTATGTCCCTTTTTTATTCCCCTTGTAGTTCTTTACAAAGTTTTAGATCCGATACTTTTGCTAGCTGATTACACAAAGGAGAGGGGGATGGGAAATTCTCCTCCTTCTTTCCTCGTCCTCGTGGATGCAAAGGGGGCTTAACCAAAGGGTTTTTTGCTTCTTTAATGTTGCTTTTTACATGTACTCACTGTTTCTTCATCGATGTTGGAGATGAGGTATGGTGCTCTCTTTGCTAAGCGTTCACCACTAAGCAGTCATGGCGGACCGTGACTGCGCTCGTTTGTGCTCTCACTTTGAGACGATCCGGCTCCTACCCTACCCGCTCCTGCTCCAGACCTCTCTCCGGGAGATCTGGTGAAACTCGGGAAACCCAGAGTTCCAATAAAATCAGTCGGTGGTGTCAGCTACGCTGCCATTAGGTTTATGGGTTTCAGTTCACTCACTTGACCTGTGTACCAGCCAGGCCCGCATTCCAGTCCCCTTGGTGCCTCTGCTCCTTATCTCTGACCTTGTAGCTCACTTCCTCATGTAGTGTCTTCCCATATTTCAACCGTGGGACCACTTTTGCTTCTTCGCCAACCCACCAACTTGGTAGAGTTCTGCTGCCACCAGGAATTAAAAATTCCAAATCTCTCTCTTTTGGTAAAATGACCCAGGGGCTGGGCATTTCAGAGGACTATGTGGCCCTGAGGAAGAACTATTCTGATTTCTGGGATGTTTAAACAAAAAATGATTTATTTAATAAAGAACAAAATAGGTTTCTGGTTATTTTTGAACTGTTGTTAATATAACTGGCAAAGCTTGGCATCACAAACAGTCTCTCAAACTCCCAAAACTCCACTCTGACAGGCGTAGACACTCAGTCTAATCTCTCTCTCTCTCATCTATATAGCCACACAGGCTGAACTCTTTGTCTTTTTCACACAGAATAGACTCAAAAACTCCCATAGTCACACAGACTATGCTCTCTCTTCAAACTTCACACTCATAGACACCCCTCCTCCCACACTCTCAGTCATCAGCCAATCACATCACACTTGTCTCCCTTTATCACTCTTCTTACATTACTGCAGTCAAACTAAACATTTAAAGAAACACACACACTGAAACATGAAATCATTACAGGTTGGTTGGTCAACTTATTGTTCATCTGTTTTCAGTCCATTCTCTTGTCTTCCTCTCCCTGTCTTATCCTATTGCAACTATTTCCCCCCCTCCCTTTAAAAAAACTTCTAACTTTCCCCCTTTTCTTTTTCCATCTCCAAATCTGGCCTCTGATTTCAACAAAGCTTCCATTTCTGTGTACAGATCAGGGTATTAAAGAAGCATGTGGCTAATGTTAACTCTTAGTTACAGAAGGGGTCTTGGATTTATTGCAGAATTTCCATGCAGGTGGGAGGGGGGCGTTTTCATCAGGAACATTCAGGGGGCATTTTGGGTAGCTGCTGGAAGGAGGAGGGAGGGAAGTCACGGTCCGCAGACAGAAATCACATCTCTCCAGAAACCTCTGATGCATCCAAACCACAGAACTGTTACTTGCTTATAGATGATTAAAAAAAATGTCGGTCCTTCAGAACTTTCTTGCGATTTTTTGCAGAATCGTTGAAAGGCGGGTTTGCAAGAGTGTAAATTTTCTCTCTCGATCCTTTAGAAGATCCTGTCCAGGGCCCTGTATTCCATGAGAAGTGATGGTGCTTTTGGCCTAGTCTGCAAAAGGCTTTTTCACAGGTAGATCTTGACTTGGGTTCTGTAAAGCATTTTTCTCTCTCTCCCTGTTCCCAGGTTCAATTACTACTGCAGACGGCTCTGCTCTTGTGAAGCTCGGAAACATGACTGTGATCTGCGGCATAAAAGCGGTGAGTTCGTGGACTCGGAATTGTTTTAAAAATTACCCCAGCCATGGAGTCACAGAACCTTCTTCCCTCCTTCTCTCCATGGGTGTAAAATCTCAGTGTTGTTATACGCTGATGATATGGTAGTTATGTCCTTGGTCTTAGATTGGTCTTAGAAGGATGCTTTCAAATTGGGCTGCTAATTGTGAAAGGGAGAAAGTAAGAATGAACTATGATAAGACTAAAATTATCGTTTTTGGCAACAGCAGAATAAAGCATAGATGGTTTATTAATGCCCAATTAATAGAACAGTTCTCTTTTTTCAAATATCTGCACACTGTATTATCGGAATCTGTGTCCTGGAAGGGACACCATAATGCAACCTCATTATCTACTGGTCGCTTCAGTAGGGGCGGTTTTAACATTCTTTTACTCAAAAGGTCAAGTTAACTCCTCCGTGCTTAAAATATTCCAATGTTTAAATGGGGTTGGAATAAGAAAATGCTTGCCCAACTGGAAATTGTTCCGAACAATTTCGAGGTACGCCGGCTGCATATTTAAAGTTGGAAACTGGATTGCCCTCCAATACAGCAAAAATTCATTTAAAACTATTAAAATACTTTTAAAAGCTTGATAGTATTTCAAAAGATCATTTTAGTTAAACTTTGCTATTGGCGTTCTAAGGAAGGGATTCAATGGGCCAATATAGCAAAGATTGAGTCTAGTGGCACTGTGCCGACCTCCTTATTCTGGAGGACTGGTTTCCCTTTAAAAGTGTTCTTTATTTTATTCTACTGGGTATATCTGGCTGCCACCAGGAAATTTAAGGCTTTCCAAACCTTTATGCTTTTACTTTTGTTATCACTGGGTAGGTAGGTCGAGTTTAAGGCTCATGAGGAACTATGTGGTCCTTAGGAAGTATTCCTTTCAGGGCTGGTATACTTAAATAAAAGAAGATTTATTGAAATAATTCATAAATAAAAGGGTAGAACAATGTAACCAGTAATGTGAATATTTTGAACAATTGCTTGGTGTCTCACACAAGATCTGCTCCCTTACTGACAGGGATCTTTCAGGTAACTTTGTAACACTTTAACTCAAGGTCTTAGAAGTTCACTGTTTCTCTCCAAGATATCAGGACATACAGCCGTTCCTATAATTTGTCTTCAATTAAACTTTCATTTACTTTTTCTTTTTCTCTGTAACTTCCTTCATACACAGAACTAACAGCTTGTCTAACTCATTCCCCACACAGAACTTAGAGCAAACTGAACTTCCCTCTGCTTCTCTCACAGAACTCAGAACTAACTGCTCATTTCCACTGTTTTCATCAACTGTCAAACCTGTAACTGTCACTCCTGACCAATGTTCCCTCTAAGCTGTGGAGTCTTGTGAGCAAAAATTCTATTTTGCGAGCTACTGGCATTAAAGTTATGAGCGAGCGATTTGGCTACTGCATAAATTAGTTTGCTCTGGAACCATCCTTCCTGAGCTAAGACAAAAATGTGTGAGCCGGAGGCTAAAAAACTGTGAGCTAGCTCACACTAACTCAGCTTAGAGGGAACACTGCTCCTGACAGACATACATATTCCAAAACCCCTCCCCCTCTCTGTCAACCACCAATCATACCACACTTGCCTCTTTCAACCACTCTAGTCTACTTACCACAGCCATGCAACCACATACACACATAAAAACATTAAAAAAAAAACCACACACACACACAAAACAAGGAATCGCCACAGGCACCTTTAAGACCAACAAAGTTTAATTCTGGGTACAAACATTTGTGTGCATTAAACTTTGTTGGTTTTAAAGGTGCCACTGGAGTCAGACTTTGTTCAGTGGAATATGCTGTCCTCCACTGTACAAGCATTCTTTCCCACCTTTGTGTCAGTTGTTAGATCCTGAGATATAATTAAAATCCATAACCAGCTCCTTGAATCTGATGCTACTCGTGATGTCAGCTTAGCATCTTATTCAGAGTTCTCTACATGGTTTACTTCAGTAAAGAAAAATAAAAAATTCACTCATTATTTAGGCAGTCTTACTAATGCATCTTTAAGGAATGTATTTACACGTGTACGTTTCCAGACCTGCCTTCTGCCTAGCTTTTCGGCAGATTTCACAAAATCCCTGTGGAGCAATGGTTTTGCCCTTGCGGTTATGATCGAGTCGAAGATATTAAGCATCAATCTTTTATATTTTCCTCTCCATGGAAATATAAGAACTAAACTGTTGAGTCAGTTCATTATTAACTTTTCAGGCTGTGACGAGGAGTGCATTAAATTTGTATTGGCAAATGGCACTTCCTTATATTTTTTTCCCAATTGCTACTTTTATGTTCTTGTCTATTAAAATCAGGAAGAACTTTATGCCCTCTACTTGATGAGGTTTAAATTGTAGCCCTAAATTCTAAGCTTTGTTGAGTATTAGGTATATATTAAATAGCCATTGGATGGCAAAAAAGGGTTGAATATAGTTTTTATTAGGTATATTTTAAATAGCCATTGGGTTGAATTAAATTTATAGTTTTTATTTGTATTTCAATATGTCTTAATATTATTTACTTATTGTTAATATTATTTACTTATAGTCAATGCTCCCTCTAAGCTATGGAGTCTCAGAGCCGACTCTTATCAGAGGGGTAGCCCGCGCTTACCTCTTGCAAGCATGCAAAAGATCACAGGGGCAGCGGCAAAGAAATGTGTCTCTTCTGCTTTCAGTGTGCTTGCCATGTGCCTTACAGCAGAACCGTGCTGGGTGGGAGTCGGGTGGGTTGCCTCCCTTAACCTGCTTGGCTGGTCAAATCACTCCTGCCTAATAGAGGCCGCTGCAGCCTCAGTTCTTATTTCTTTTGGAAGTGAAAACCCGTGTCCTGCCAAGTGTGGCTACACGGTGTCCCCTTTTGGGATCTCCTAGGGTGGGGGTCTCCCCCAGCCTTTTCGAGCCTGTGGGCACCTCTGGAATTCTAACACAGGATAGTGACAAGGTGACTGCCGCAGCGTGCCGTCAGTCACACAGTGAAGATCCTTGTGCTGCGGTGGCCGCTGCTGCCAATGCAAATGTTCTTTCTTAAGAAATCTGTGCAGACAATCGACTCTCTTGTGGCCTATCAGAAGCCTTGCTGGGCCAAGGCCCCGCCCACTTTCCAAAAACACTTGGTGGGCAGCAGGAAAGATGTTGGCACCAATTTTCCCTCTAAGCCGAGATAGTGTGAGCTAGCTCACAGTTCTTTAGCCTCTGGCTCATACATTTTTGCTTTAGCTCAGGAAGGATGGCTCCAGAGCAAAGTAATTAATGCAGTAGCCAAATTGCTTGCTCATGACTTTAAGGCCAGCAGCTCACCAAGTAGAATTTTTGCTCACAAGATTCCACAGCTTAGAGGGAGCGTTGGCTGGCACATGGCCAATTAGAAGGCTTGCCGGGCAAAACGCCTCCTAGCCCTACCCGCTTTCTAAAAAGACTTGGTGGGTGCTAGGAAAGATATTGGCAGATGCCATTGTGCCCACCATGTTGGGGACTCCTGACCCTAGGGCTTACATGCACAACATCGGATAGCACAAGAGAATCGTATTAGCTGAACTATTGTTTTTATTTCCAGTATTATAAATGCTGCGTGTTAAACACTGGGTGCTGTTCCGTATCTCTAGGGGTTAAAAAGAAATGAACATTAAATTAATCTTCTATAGCAAGGCAGTTTGGGAGTGTTATTTGAAAAGGTGAGCATGGAAAATCCCCCCCCCCCAATTAAAATATAGCGTGCCGTGGTAAAGATTAATATTCTTGTAAGAAAAAGTCACATTTTTCATTTAAGAAGGCTTTTCATTTTGGTCATGGATCGGATTATTCGTAAAGATGAATAAAATGGAAATAATCCATGTCGTTTTAGTGAAGGTCAGATATCTGCATTGCTAGATTCGTTTTTAGAAACGCCATTAAAATTCACAATTAAATATGTGAAATGCATGGGGAAAATCTGTCTCAATTCCCAAACTGTATATTAAGAAAAATCCAAGGAGTACTGGTTCTTATTAATTAGCTATGTTAATGAATAATAATACTTTATAAAACAGTTAATTAACTAGAAGGAAGGACTAATAATAATAACTGGTGGTGTTCTGAATCAGGCGTACTTCGATTCAGTGAGCATTGACATAATCACCTTTCTGAATTTCTTCCCATTTCCCCCCCACCACACACTTGGGCCCTACAGGAATTTGCAGCACCCCCTGTTGATTCCAGCAATAAAGGATATATTGGTAAGGTTTTTTCCTACTTACTTTTCCCCCTTGGAATGGCCAGTCGTTTCCCAGTCTGATAGATTCAGGTGGGAAGCCGTGTTGGTCTGAAGGAACAAGGCAAAGTTCAAGTCCAGTGGCACCGTTAAGACCAACAAAATTTAATTCTGGGTATAAGTCTTCGGATACACTGAAACAGACTTCCTCACTCCTTACATCTAGGCGGGGTGGGGGGTGGGGGGGTTAGTTGCCAGGAAGGACTGGTTAGAGTCAAGGTGGATAAGTAGCTGAGCAATTTGTCGCTGCTTCACACTGGCTGCTCATATTTAACTTACGGTCCACCCCGTACCCCAAGGTCTTGTTCAAGCACACTGCTACCCAGAAGTGTATCCCCCCTTCCAGTATGTGTGTTCCTTATTTTTTCTTCACTGTGTGACTGAAGGGAAGCTATGGCAGCCATTTTATGGCTGGTTCAGCCTCCCACAGCAGCTGTTTTGTGGTGGCTGGCTGCGTCCCACCACGCTGTGGGCTACATTGCGCTTCCAGTTTCTCTGAGGTTATCTTTTGTTGCTTTTAATCATACATTCATGCAGGGGTCATTTCGTAGAAAAGTTATGTTCATTAGCATAACTTATTAGCATAACTTATTTGCATACACCACACCCCCTGACATCACCGGAAGTGTGTCAAAAGGCAACACCCACCGCTCAGGCTCCACTGGACTGTTTTGGATTGCTGGCTATTGGGGGGGGGGGAACGTGTAGATCTATCCTCACAGAGGAGGGAGAGCTTGTATCTGAATAAAACTTGGTCTTAAAAGGTGCCACTGGGCTGTTTTGGATTGTTAGCTATGGGGGGTGGGGGAACACGCAGATCTGCCCTCACAGAGGAGGGAGAGCTTGTACCTGAAGGCGGGCCAGGGGGGGCTCTGCAACTTACCTGGCCTGCTTCTTGCTCCTCGTGGCCTAACTGAGGGTTGCTGGGAGCAGGGGGCGGGGCTTGTTGCATGTGCCCACCCCCTGGGCTCCTTACTGCCAGAAATGGCCCCTGCATTCATGGATCTTGTTTTAAGGGGTACATTTATTTTTAGTCTCCATGATGGTATGTTTAGAAAACTTTCCTTTTATCCTTAAGTGATTAGCAGAACAATTCAGGCTAGCGTCCTCCCCAAAGGGCGGAACAGATTGAAGGATGTATCGTGCACCACTAGACGTCTTCCATTGCCCTTCCCTCAGAGACTGCCCCATAATGCCTCTCTCCCCCCCCCCAGTTCCTAACGTGGATCTGCCTCCGCTCTGCTCGTCACGATTCCGACCAGGACCACCAGGAGAAGAGGCCCAGGCAGCGAGCCAGTTCATGGCCGATCTGATCGAAAAGTAAGAGACACGCGTGCTGTGATTTGTTCGATGAAATTGCGTCCAGGAGTTGGGAGTCTTCTCTTCACCGTGTCACTGTTCTAGTTCACAGGTAGTAAGGAAAGAAGATCTGTGCATCGTAGACGGGAAGGTTAGTAAAAAGCCGAGTCTTTACCGTGAATGTTAAAGGGAGTCGAACACACTTTTTGTTTCAGTCGTGTTTGGTTTGAGGATTGGCGGGAGGGGGACCCCATGCCCAGCCCGCTCCGGACCGTTCCTGCTTAGTCCAAAAGGAAGGATCACTTTGCGTTATGACAGTTTACGCTGGATCTCTCTCTCTCTCTCTCATCAAAAACACAGAATGTGGTATTTATTTGAGTCTGTATCCCCATTTAGAAGAACTGAAATGGCAAACCAAAGACAGAAGCCAAAGTATCTGTTTAAAACCCTTTCAGCCGTTTCGAAACAGATGGAAGATTATAAAAACTTGGTTTTGGTCCAAGAAACAGACAGAAATCAAACGAGTGCCATTAAAGGGTCTCCTGAAATACAAGAAGGACTAGGAATAAGGCCCATTGTGGAAATAAATACAACGAGCTTTAGAAAGAGTGCCAAGACCTTGGGCACTGAGGGAGTGCATTGCACAGCCAATGGGAGAGCTGGAAAGTGCCACTCGACTTCACAATTATATACAAGGAGAGATGCTTTGTCGGACGTTGCTTTTCATCCCCCTTCCTGTTCTTCCAGCTCTAGTTCTAAACAAGGTCAAGCACCTGAGCTTGTATGTCTTGTCGACCGTCCTCTTCTCCCCCAAACAAGGGAGGCCATAATGCTTTCCTGTCACAATATACCTGATAACTGGGGGTGCTCAGAGACATGAAACATACTTTGTTAGGAAATAGGTAATAAACACAGAAGACAGAATTAACACCATAAAGCAGAAGTGCCTAACCTCTGAATTTTGATGGTGGGCAGTAGGGTTCCCTCTAAGCTGAGTTAGTGTGAGCTAGCTCCAGGGGTCATTTCCTGTGGGAGCGCACAGGAGCAGAGCTCCGGCAGTAAGGAAGCCACGGGGTGGGCACATGCAACATGCCCCACCCCCTGCTCCCAGCAGCCCTCAGTTGGGCCACGAGGAGCAAGCAGCAGCCAGGTAAGTTGCAGAGCCCCCCCCCGGGCCCGCCTTCAGGTACAAGCTCTCCCTCCTCTGTGAGGGCAGATCTGCACGTTCCCCCCCCCCCATAGCTAGCAATCCAAAACAGTCCAGTGGAGCCTGAGTGGTGGGTGTTGCCTTCTGCCACACTTCCGGTGATGTCAGGGGTGTGTGACATATGCAAATAAGTTATGGTAATGAGCTCCTGCACCTCTGTCTAAGAAATGTTCCCTCTAAGCTGAGTTAGTGTGAGCTAGCTCACAGGTTTTTAGCCTCCGGCTCACACATCTTTGTCTTCGCTCAGGAAGGATGGCTCCAGAGCAAGCTGATTTATGCAGGAGCCAAATCGCTCGCTCACAACTTGAATGCCAGTAGCTCACAAAGTAGAATTTTTGCTCACAAGACTTGGCAGCTTAGAGGGAGCATTGGGTGGGCAATGCGAGAGCTTGGATCCAGCGGCGCATTTCGGCAGATGGAACAATGTCCACCGGCAGAGTGTGACCTTCCTGCCTCGCCCCTCCTGAGGCAGCTGGAAATACTTCCCCAAAGCTGCCTTAGGCTGCTGCATAAATCCGTTTGCTCCGGAGCCCTCCTTCCTGAGTGAAGACAAAAGTGTGTGAGCCAGAGTCTAAAAATCTGTGAGCTGGCTCACACTAACTCAGCTTAGAGGGAACACTGGTGCCAGGTTGGCCGCATTGTGTTGATTGATGGGCTGGCAGCCAGTTCCACCTTCGTCTGGAAACGGAGCTGACCGAAAGCGCGGGCGTTTAATTGAGGGAAGGGAAGTTTCCTTTCCTATAGGCGTATTTATCACGATTCCATGTTGTCGTGGCACCTTTCAGGTCTCTCTGTGTGTTCTTTTTACAACTGTAGCTCTTATTTCCTTAGCTTGCTTGGGTCCTATACTGTGATATTATATGCTTGGACTACGACGGGAACCTTCTGGACGCCTGCGTGTGTGCTCTTCTAGCAGCTTTAAAAAATGGTAAGGTGGCTTCTCTTCACGGGCTCTGAGTGCAGATGCCGGGTTTCTGCTGGACCTTGTTAAAACATTTATATCCCGCTTTGCTTCTCGGTTCAAGATAAGTAAGAGCTCCC